CCCCAAAACCCCAAAACCCCAAAACCCCTTCTTAAAATCGGAAATTTGTTAGTATATAATTATTACTCATGTCAACAAAGAAGTCGAGAGAAGAAAGTAAAACTCGTAAAGAAGGAAAATCAGTCCTTAGTAAGCCAATGGCTTTCAAAATTGGTAAGGGGGCTAGTGAGGTTTCATGCTAGTTTTTGTGTGTGTTTTTGAGGTTAAAATTTGATCTATAAAAGCTATTTATATGTATATGATAACTAAGGAATTTCTATATACTTGTGTTTTAAATCAATCAAGAAAAAGTTTTGTCAGAAAGTTGATCTTTAATTTCCTTTAAAATTTTCACCTTATCAAGCTTGAAATAGATGCTAGTTAGAAATCATGAGGGGAATCCTGAATAATCACCATTTATAGTGGTGCTTGGAGAAGCAAGAGCTGGAAAAACTTCAATCATGCTAAGATATTGTAAAAATGTCTTTGATCATGGACAAGTCTCTACAACAGATGCATCAAATCTTACGAAAAACATTGAGATTGATGACCAAAAAGTTAAGCTCTTCATATGGGATACAGCTGGGCAGGAAGAATACCATGCTCTTAACAGTGTATACTACAGAGATGCGATGGCAGTCATCCTAGTCTACGACACTACAGATAAAGACTCATTTGATAAAGTCCAAGCTTGGGTTGATGAGCTCAACCTCTATCTTCCTAAAGATACTCCTATTGCTATTGCTGGCAACAAAGAAGACCTGTCCAACAGGCAGGTCGAAATTGAAGAGGCTGAGGCATATGCTGCTTCTATCAATGGAGCCCACTTCAGCACTAGTGCTAAAACTGGCAAGGGCATCTCAGATATCTTCACTGCGGTTACCAAAGCAGTTATTCGGAAGCACAAGAAAGAAGCTAAAGCTGTTGAAAAAACCAGAAAAAAATCTTCCAAATTAAAAAGCAATGGCAGGAATATTGGCATTGCTGGTGACGATGATGACCTTTCCCTAGGTGAAAACTCCAACCGTGGGTACACTGGAGTTAGGATCAGCTCTTATACCAAAGAGAAAAAGAAGAGCAAAGGGTGCTGATAACTAGCACATTTATGGAATATTTTTAATAGCCCAATCATTCCTAATCTAAAGGGGTTTTGGGGTTTTGGGGTTTTGGGGG